AGTCCATAACACCATTTTTTTTTTACAGATTTTTTTTTTTGCCATAGTGTGTGTGCACTCCCCAGAGAGAAAGAGACGGACAGACACAGAGAGAAGGAAAGCAAGAAGTCACCCCCGACCCCCCTCCCCGGGGGATGGCCATGCCACGATACCCTCTCCTCCATTCTCCTCCTGGGATTTTGGGCATGCATGCATACACATCCAGTACGATTTTTTTTTTTCTTAAGAGAAATTTTTGCTACAGGGTGCATGCACTAGCTGGAGAAATAGAGACAGAGAGAAAGAAAGTGAGAAATCACTTCCCAGGGGCAATGGCTGCTCTTCAGTCCCTTCTTCTCCAATTTCCTCTTGGGACTTAGAGCTCACACACACCCAGCATGAGTTTCAAGCTGCTGGATCTAGGACTCGAACCACAGTCAGCCATGTAGGAGTCCAGAGCCTTAACCACTACACCACCTGCTGCCCCCCCATCCCCACATGATTTTTAAGCAGCTGGGCCTAGGACTCAAAACATGCAGTCAGCCATATGGGAGTCCAGCACCTTAACCACTAAACCACCTGCTAGTCCCCAACATTTAAAAGAAAATTTTTTTCATAATGTGTGCACTCGCTGAAGAGAGACAGAAGTAGTGAGAGAGAAAGTGAGACATCACCCCTCACAGGGATGGCCACCCACAACCCCTTCTCCTCCATTCTCCTCCTGGGATCTGGGCATGCACACACACATGTCCAGAGTGATTTTCAAGCTGCGAGGTCTGGCACTGCACCCACGGTAGGCCATGTGGGAGTCCAGGGCTTTATCCTCCAGCCCAGCTGCTCCCCGTAACACCAACTTTTAACGTAAGTAGAGTGCGCGAGGCAGGTACCCGGGGTAGGCAAGAGTTAGATATGCCTACTTCTTAAGTTTTCTAAAAAAAAATAAAATAAATAACACAACAGTCTGGATCTAACTATACAGTAACGAAATTGGCTTTCACGAGTAAATGCCGACCTGGGTTCATTATTTCCTAGGTTAAACCACTTAAAGCTCTGATTTCTAGCTCAATGACAGAGAATATTTTAAAGGATTTGCATAAACTAATAAATCTAGTCTCTTGTAATTTTCAGGTACATTTGAATCTGCACCCAAAATAATCAAAATATCGTAATGAAATATGCCATGTTGCCCTGACTTCTGTTCCATGAGGAGCGTCTGTGTGCTTCGGCAGCCGATTCTAAGTTCGAGCAGCTTGTCTGCCTAGCTAGACCTCGTAATGGAACTTGAAGACGCACACGGCGCAGATCGGACGGTCCAGTGGGATGCTGCATCCTCTACCTGGAACGTTCCCTGTAGTCAGAGACTGTCAGAGACTGGAAACAAACCCTGCGATTCCTACTGAAAACTTCCTACCCGTACGTGAGCAGCCGAAACCCACACTCATCCACAGTTGCTTCCCAACAGCTGAAAACACTGCCAGGGGCCAGCTCTGGCAGATTCCATGGGGAGACTCAATGCGAGTCCTCGGCCCAGTCAGCCTGACCAGACCCAAAGAGCTGGAGGACAGGAGGACCGGGCCGCTGCATGACGGACTCTGAGGTTGCCCCCCCCACACACACTCCACGTGTGCTCAGGCATGCTCCATCACGAGGAGAGGGAAAACCAGACTGAGAACACAGCCTGCAACAGTTCCCAGCCCTCATCCCGTCCTCTCCTTCCTCTAAGACACAAGACCAGCTCCTTCACGAAGCCTGCCACGGACTCAGTGATTTCTCATTGTTACAAACACTGAATCATGACCTAGAATATATCATTTCTATGTTTTTGGAGAGGTGTTTTTTTGTTTGTTTGTTTTGGGTTTTTTGGGGGGTTTTTTTTGTTTTCTTTTTTTTTTTTTTTTTTTTTTGCTATAGGGTGCATGCGCTCGGCGGAAAGACAGAAAGACAGAGAGAAAAAGAGACAGAAAGCAAGAAATCACCCCCCCAGGTGGATGGCCACACCACAATACCTTCTCCCCCAGTCTTCTCTCAGGATCGTGGGCACGCACACACACGCACCTGGCATGAGTTTAAGCCACCAAGTCCGGGACTCGAACCGTGGTTGGCTACATGGGAGTTCAGCGACATAGCCATTATGCCAACTGCTGGTCCCTATAATTTTTATGTTTTTAAGCAACTGCTTAAAAACTCTTCATTGTCATTCCCAATATCATGCTTAAGTCTTGTTTATTTGTTTTTTGTTTTGTTTTGTTTGTTTGTTTATTTGTTTAGGTTTTTGCTAGAGAGAGAGAAACAGAGCTGGAAAGTGAGAAATCACCCCCTAGGGTGGATGACCACACAGCAGTCCCTTGTCTTCCAGTCTCCTCTTGAGACTTTAGGCATGCATGCACACACTTCCAGCATGATTTTGAAGCCACCAAGTCTGGAACTCGAACCATGATTGGTCATGTGGGAGTCCAGCACCTTAACCACCTTGCCACCTGCTGGCCCAAGTCTTACATTTTTAAGGAGGTAATTGTCTCTTGCGGGTAAAACTGTGCATTACTGGTTCTCTGGACAGTTGCACAGCACCTAGCGAAGGTGGCTGGTCTCTAGCTTATCTGTCCTGCTTTAATGAATCCAGCACTTGGCGCCTGTCTCTCAAGCCCTGCCACCCTCCACAAGGTGCACCTGCACCTTCATGCACGGCTTTCAGCACCAAGGACGTACCCCTGACAGTACAGGCCGGAGGCTGCACCCACTCGTCTCCTCCAAGGACCCTGCCTTACCCAGCCCGAGCCTCCAACAAGCGCTGGCACGTTCTCCCTCAGTGCCATCACACAGGCGTGCTCCACCTCGCAGACCCGCCCTCGCAGTCCCACTGCAGCACGCAGCCTCCTGTCCCCGCCCATCTCCCACTGCCTGTTCACCCTCACGAGTCTGCCTTTCTCACCCTTTCCTCCCTTTGGCAAAGGCTGGGTCTGTGAAGAAGCCCTTTGTCAGTAGAAAGCAAATGAACTTCGAATCAGATAGACATGGGTTCTAATCTCCGAGCTGGAATTTACCATCTGAGAAAACTTTTTTTTTTTTGGAGAGGTTTTTTGCTATAGGGCATGTGCGACTTGCCAGAGAGACAGAGACAGAGAGACAGAAAGCAGGAAATCATCCCCCAGGGGGATGGCCACACCGCAATCCCTTCTCCTCCATTCTCCTCTCGGGATCCTGGGCACACATGCACACGTGTCCGGCGTAAGTTTAAGCCACCGGGTCTGGGACTCAAACCACAGTCGACTACATGGGAGTCCAGTGACATGGCCATTACGCTATCTGCTCGTCCCCCAGTTGAGAAAACTTGAACCAGTCTGTTAGCTGTTCCACAGTGTTGGTGGGCTTATTTACAAGCTGGAAATGGAATGGCCCTGCCGGCCCGTCCTCTGTCCTCTCCATTCTCCGTCTTGACCTCCTCCGATGCCCTTCTGGTTCTCCTTCACCAGACTCGGTCTCCTCCCTGCTTCACCTTATGCTTCTGACTACTAAGATTAATCTCATGCAAAAACACTTCCAGGGCCAGCAGCTGGCGTAGTGGTTAAGGTGCTGGACACCCACATAGCCGACCAGGTGCCCTGAAAACCACACCCAGCACATGTGTGTGCATTTCCAAAATCCCAGGAAGAGAAGGGAGAAGGGACTGGGGCGTGGCCATCTCCCCAGGGGGTGATTTCTCACTTGCCCTCTTTTCAAACACCTACTGGCGGGGAACCAGGCCGCTGGCAGGCTGCAGACCCAGCTGCCCGCACTGCCCTCCCGAGTACCTCAGCCACCCTGTAGGAGCCCTGCCCTCCAGGATCACCCATCTGTGGGGTATCTGCTGAAACCAAAACAAGGCCACCTCGGAGACTAACATGTGCTCACATTTCTGGGGATCCAAAGGCACGTGTTGGGGTGACACAGAGGTTCCCAAACTCTGCAGGGAACGGCAGTGAGCAAAGCAGAGGAACGGAAGTCAAAGGAGAGCCGGGCACGTCCTTCACCCTATGAATCCCACATCCGGCAATTCAGCCTGTGGAAATAATTACGGATATATAATGAGGTTTAGCAAAAAGAGGTTCTTTCCTCAAACCCTGTTGCAAACACCGCGAAAGCACAGTACGCCTCGCCCTCTAACAATGGGTTGATTCGATTATGGTTTAGCTACATGGTAACACGTTATGTCACGGATGAGTCTCTGTTAACGTGGCCGACGCTCGGCTGTAGTGGGGGGCGGAGGGGCTGCACATATGTGGGAGGAGCCCATGTGTGTAAGCAGGTGTGAACGGAAAAGACCGAGAGGTCAGCCAGGTGTCAATCACTGCCCCCTGGGGTAAGACGATGGAGTTTTTCTTTCACTCATTTCCAGCTTTAACTGTTGCTTCTCACGTGCCCCTTTTGGAACAAGAAGAATCGTCACATATAAACCACACGCGTGCACTTACATATTATATAATGTATGTGTATACGCATGAGGGGTCTTCAGAAAGTCATTGGAAGACAGCATTGATGAATTGTCTAAACTGATGCCAAAAAATTAATCGTTATTTATTTCATTTTATTTACTATTATTATTATTATTATTTAAATGCTGCATGTGTGCTCTCCAGAGAGAGACAGAGAGAGGGAAAGTGAGAAAGCAAGCTACCAGGTCCAGGATTCGAACAGCCGTTGGCCATGTGGGAGTCCAGCGCCCCAACCACCAAGCTGCCTACCGGCCCCTGGTGCATAAATGTTGGCAACTGGGCAGAGCTTTATCGCAGCCAGTACTTCCCGTGACCTTTCCAGACCCCGTCGTACACGTGTGCACTCCTACCTGGCCTGGTACAAGGCACTTCTGCCAACGGCCGAGCGGAGGGCAGACACAGGGAGCGTGTCCACGGGGCAGGCGGTGGCCCTGGGGCACCAGAGCTGTTTCAGGGCCCGGGCGGTGTCCCCAGGCACTGGGCGCCGAGGGGCCGTGTCCTCGCTGGCGAGCTGGTGACAGCCGGCGTCTGACCTGTCCTTCCCGCCGCCAGGTGGACGCGCACGGCAACATCCTCCTGAGCACGCTGGAAATCCGGAACGAGACGAGCGGCTCGGACGTGCTGACGGGCACGAGCGACCCCAAGGCCACCATGTACTCGTATGACAGCGCCAGCATCCAGTACCGCCGGCCCCTGAGCAGCCGCGAGGCCTACGGGCGAGGCCTGGACCGCCACGGGGCACCGGGCAAGGGCCGCATCCGCCGGCGGGCCTCGCAGCTCAAGGTCAAGATCCCCGACTTGACAGACGTCAACTCCATAGACAAGTGGTCGCGAATGTTCTTCCCCATCACCTTCTCCCTTTTCAACGTCGTGTACTGGCTTTACTATGTCCACTAAGGTCTGTCCTCGCGGTTCCTCTCACAAGGCCTGGCTCTCCTTTGTCATAGCCGCGCGGGTCCCCACCAGCGACACTGCTGTGTCTTTTGAGGTAAGAGATTCAGCCATCCGATTGGTTTTAGGTCTCGCATATCAATTTTATGACTGCACCATGTTTACTTCAAAACACACACACACACACACACACACACAACAAAGTTTTTCCAGTCTGTTGTGGTCCAGGTTAGGAACCCGCGAGGCGCTCTGGTAATCGCCATGTTTACAAACACACCGGGAGGGGAGGGAGGTCCATCCTTAGCAGTCTTTCCTAGTTGCCCCTGGATTTTATTGATTTCCTTTTTAAATGACAAAACACACACACAGAGGACCTCGTGTCTGTCCGCACCGCTTCCTGGTGAACTGTAACCACCTCATGCTGCCACAAAAACACCACGATGCCACGATCTCAGAGGCACAATCAAAGCCATTGACAAGTTACAGATTTCCAGGAAGAAGGCAGAGCCACAAGGAGCCTAGAAAAGGCAGGAAGACCCCTCCCCGCGCTGGAGTCCCCCAGGCCCCTTGCAGAGGGCCCCTCAGCTCTGTGGCCCGGGGTGGGCCTGGGACTGGGCCTGGCATGAGCTGGTCAAGTTTGTGCAACCCCGACCTGCCATCTCCTCGCCACGAAGCAGGTCGTAGGAGATCTGCTGCCCCCTCAGACTTCCCAACAAAGTGTAAAGTGACATGCCCAGCCTGGTAAACCTGGCGGCCATAGAGAACATGCTTCTTCTCTTCTGGAGAATAAGGAGTCTGGGGGCGGAGGCCTGTGCTCTAACTGGCTGTTTCAATGGAGCTTCGAGGACTTCATTTCATTAGCCTGGACCCCCTCGTCCCCTGGAGCCTCTTGGTCACCTTTCTCTAGTTTCTGCTCCAGGGAAGAGAGAGACAGAAGGGATGGGAGGTGGGGTGGAGACGGCTTCAGAGAAGTGAAGGGGGAGCAATTTTTGCTTAAGAAAAATAGTGCCATTTCCATGAAGAAGGCACGGTGTACATGCTGTGGAGAGGGTGCCTGGCGGTATCTGAACTGCCAGATCCTAAACCACAGAGTGTGTTCCTTTGCCTTCCAGAGAGCAGGATCCTATGGGGGCAGGCTAGTCACAGGGCTCAGCCTGTGTATTATGACCGTGTTCTGCTCCGCGCCCCGAATGCGGAGTGAATGCCCCAGGAAACGCTCACACATCCATGGTGGTGTGAGCCTTCTCTTCTGAGGCCAGGTTTCCATTGTAGAGAAAACCCTGAAACTAACAACGACAAAAGCACTGGGCCTCCCGACATGAACACTGGTAAAATACACACCCTGTCTACACTCGCTCATCACTGTCAGTGCTCTGCCTTCTGTGCTCGTGGGTTACTCTTGGCCATGGTTCCCACAGAGGGGTCGGCCTTCAGTCACCTCGTGCTCAATTCTAAATATGTTCAAGCAGCTAAAGTTAAGGTTCGTCCCATTCTGTGTCACTAAGCTTTATTGTTTTTCCTTCAGTCTGAGTATGTAAGAACCCTGCAAGTTCATTTGTAAGGTGGAGTGAAACCCTCCGTGGGCCAACCAGTGAAGGGGCCACTGGAGACCTGACCTGGGGGAAGGGACTAAAAGCTGGGGTCATAACATTGAGGACGATCGAGGCTGTGGTGAGAGGCCATGTTTACAACAGCATCAGCGACTGGAAAGGAGAGCCTTTCATTGGCAAGCTAAGGCCAAATCCCTCCTGATCAGCCCGAAGGGAGAAAGTTATGAGATATCGTTTTAGAAAGCCCAGAGGAAAAGGGAACCCCGAAATAAATAGTCATGGTTAAAGAAAATACACATTAGCTAAGCATCTAAAAAGTCCTGCTTTAAATGGAAAAATGATCTCAATGTTTCATGACAAATAAGTAGGGTTAGGGGGACCCAATTTTCATTTAGGATTTTGGTTGAATGATCACGCTTCCCTGGTCAAGGAAATCCCTAGCTCCTGGGCTTGAAGTCATCTGTTCTGGAGCTCTGCCCGGTCCCTTAACAGAGGTCCATGCTCTGCTACTGTGCAATGCCCAGAGAAACTGGGGTGCGACCATGCCGGTGACCGTCGGGTTAGCATCCCGGCGGCCATGCAAGAACCTCTGCGCAGCAGTTTATTTTAAACACAGGAAGGGGAATTTGGGGCTGACGCCTCACAGAAATGAATCATTCTGATGTCACAGCTCTTTAAAAAGCTTTAAGGATGAAACGCTGAATCAGAAAGGCAGTGTCTGGCTTCTACGTCCCTTACCAATTTCTCTTTATCTGTTTAGATCATTCTTCTTGGAAAAGATTAAGGTAATTTGTATTTGTACTATTTTTGTTTTAAAATTTGCCTTTAAAAATCAGAAGATTTTGATGCCGAAGTGTTCAATGGAAAGCATTGTTGGGGTGGGGGGAGAACGTTTTGAACGCTCATATTTCAGCCTTTGTGAAACGTAGAATGATGAAGCCTGGATCTACCCGCGGGCACAGAACAGTACCCCAGCCTGCGCCCCCGGCAGGACGGGTGTGGGGGCTGAGACCCCTCTGTGGGTACATGCTAAGTAGCCCTGACTATGTAGGCAGTGGCAGGGAGAATGGAG